GATAGATAGATAGATAGATAGATAGATAGATAGATAGATAGATAGATGACAGACAGATTAGGTAGACAGACAGACAATAGATAGCTAGGTAAATGGATGGGTGAGTGGATGGTAGATAGATAATGGTACACACAGCCATTCCTTCTTCGGCTTCTCCCAAAACTCACAATTTTGAGAAGTAGATTGGGCTAAGGGACCGGCCACAGGTTTCCATGTCTGAATGCAGCTTTGGTCGTGTGTCTGCTCTTAAACTACTATGTCATATTGGCTCTCAGTGGGCCACCCTTGTCACTGTTCCTAATGTCATCAGGGCTTCTTTGTCCCTCCCAGCACAGCAATTAATCTCCCACGTGCGTGTTTCATCTCTGTGTGTGGGCATGTGTGAAATGAACGTAGCTTTGATTGTTGAAACAAGATTAAGGGAAGAGACATAAGTATCCTCTGAATTCGTGTAAGTTTGGTGTAGGGGGTGGTGGAAAGATCTATGGAATTGAGCATGGGATTCCAGGTCATGCGAATGTTGAATAGAAGTACGTGAGCGTTGCATTCTGTATACCTTCATCATCTTTGCCCATCCTTCTCCTCTTGCTGTTCTCTCATTCATATTGATTAGCTATGTTTTCGTCCTTCCCACAATAACACCCGCAGGCAATATGCATGTACAGCTCAATCGTGTCGTAATTGTAACCGCTGCTTTATTTTTCTTCTCTCTCTCTCTCTCTCTCTCTTTAGGAAGCTTCACTGATGGAGTCTGAGCCAATCCAAGAGAGAGATCCTTTCCCGCGGACAACCCATAGAACACATGAAGCCAGCAATCCTTCCTCAGCCAGAAAGTACCATGATGTCACAGAGGCTTTCGTCATGAGCCAAGTTCCTGGAAGTGAGGAGGTGGAAGAGAAGGAGGATCCGTCTCTTTCCCATGATCTGGCACTTCTCCTTGTTATGAAAGAACACATGTGGGATGGAACTTTTAACTCGGCGGAGGAGAAGGATGCTTCCCAAGATCTGGAAAGAAAGCCAAGAGAGGTAGAGAACTGGGAAGAATTTTCGGATGGAAAACAGGATCTCAACAGAGGACAGCTCAGCTTGAAGGAAAGCCAGGCATCTTCCTTAAATTCCTTTGATGGGGAATTTGCAAGTTATTCTTCAACCAGTTGCCAATCTGTCTTTCTGGATACAATCAGCCCTGTTTTTTCCCCTCCCAGAAAGGTCAGTGCAGGGCAAATGGAGAGCCATGTCCGTGATGGTAGCTTTGGCCAACCTCCAAGTTTGCGTGACACACACTCTCAGACACGGCATGAGAAATCAGCAATGACCAACGCTCTTCCTTGTCAAGAAGACTCCACCAATGAATCTCCTTTGGTGATTCATGATATTTCAAATTGCCATGAAAGTGCTGATTTTTCCAAATCCTGGTCAGATGAAGAGCATTCGTGGCAACGAGAGACACGGCACACGGAGGACCAGAGCCTTGATGAAGAAACGGACGTTGCAACAAGGATCAATGAAATCTCCTCTAAAAGAGAACAAGCGAGTAAAAGATTCAGCAATCCTTCTTCGGAAGAGGATGAGTTCAATTTAGATGAGGTTCGAAGAAAGGGAGGCAACGTTTTATTCCAGGTATCTTCCAAAGAAGGGGAGGAACATTCAGATGTTGAGGAGGAAATAGGAGATTCGGAGGAAAATGTTCTCAGCTGCCTTGTTCTCCAGCTCCAGGAAGAGGAAGAGAATGATATCAGAGTAAGCGACCCTTTTTTACTAAAGAAAAACATCCAAACCAATGATAATATAAGCAACGTGAATTGTGAGGAATCAGAGTCAGACCAAAAACAGCTGTCAACCACAAGGAAGCCAGAATTTACAGAATCGGGGCCTCTGGAGTTGGCAGGCCGCGAGGAAGAGGGAAGGAAGGATTTGAATGAGAAAGCAGCAAAGAGCAAATCCAAGACAAATCTGGAGGAAGTGCAGTTGCCACACAATGACCACGAAGAACAAGAATGGGCTGTGCAAGCAACAATAGATTCCATGCCTATCAGATCGGGCCAGGGCACATTTGATTCTTTGGAAAACAGTTTGGCTCTTTCTGGTTTAAACGATAACAGTTCTGAAGAATTTGCTTTCCCTTTGAAGGAGGTGTCCTCACCAGATCACTCTCCAACGTCGGGTTCTGTGTGGCCTGAGCCTTGTGTCCAAACACTCCCTATTCCATTCCCTGGAATGACCCCTGAAGGTTTTCAGCCAGGTAGTGGAAGCCCAAGAACACAGTCTGCCCTATATCACAACTCTGGACAAGTGGAACACTCCGGCATCTATGACGAAGCAAACACAACGTCCTGTTGTGATCAAGAGAGTGCACAACCCACCGTGCGTGTTGGAAAAGAAGATGTTGCAAAAGAGGATGTTGGAAAAGAGGAAAATGTAAGCAGCGCTGATGGTGAACAAATAACACAGTTGTTTGCAGATGTAGCATTAGGCAACGACTCCCAAGATCTCCACGGCTCTCAAGTTGTGGGCTGTTCTTCTGGTGCTGAAAACAATCCCGTCCCATCTTTGAGGACTATAATCACCACTCTCCTGCAAGAAGATCCTAGCAAGGGAGCCACGGATGGGACTGCCACTTGTGCAGGAGAGGGATCAGTTTTATATTTCTCCAGCCAACTGGACAGAGAGATAGGTGACGAAGCTTCAGCACCGGACAGTGATGGAGATGGTCATCTTCCCGCTTTGAGTGAGGACTTTGTCGAAGGCGCTCAGAGTTCTACCTCCAAAGCCCCCCCAAATCCATCTCTAGAAGAAGGCCTGTCCAATATTGCCAAAGAGATGATAAAGTTAAGTCTCTCTTCCTGGGAAGACAACGTGAAGTCCCATCAACAACTGAAACCAACAATTCAGAATGCTGTGTTGTCCGGGAAGGAAGCAGCAGCAGACACACATTGCACGGAAGAAGATATCTTAACCAGTGAGTCACCGTGTTTTTCAGTACTTGGTAAAGAGGGAACAGAATGTGACTATAATGCTGACAGCCTCTCATCTTCCAGGACTCTTTTTGCAATTACCACCGATGCAGCTCAGCTAACCCAACCTTTGGCCTCAGTTCTAGTGGGAGACCCTGAGCTGAATTTGGTCCTCGAATCTGCTTCTCTTTTATCCTCTATGCAGCCTCTCCAGTTTGTAATCCCTCCACCCGAGGCAAATTTTAATGCCCAGCCAACTCCCACAGGCCTTAATCCTGACCGACTCCTAGAACAACGGGCTTCTTCCTGCCAGGTTAATCCATTAGCCCCAAAATCTTCCGCCAATGAGACTGTTTTGGAGCATTCGCCCTTAGGCCCTGAAACCAGATCATCTGAGCAGCTTTCCACCTCTGAAAGCGACTTGGATCAGTGTTGCCAAGTTCCACGTTCCGTACACAACTTTAAGCAGCCTGTACTTGTGTCACGCCGTGCCAGTTTACCCATTGTGTCTAGGCGTTCTGGGTTTCCTTCACTTGCTAGCAATGCAGCTTCCCAGCGGACTAACTCTAAACAGATCACACAGTCTGTAGCTGCTGGACCAGGCCACAACTTCCCGGCACAACCTCCATACATCACTGTTAGCAGAGGTTCTCACAGTTCCCGATCAGATTCCAATTCCAGGAAGCATCTCCTAGTCAGGGGCAACCCCTCTACACAGCATAGGACCGAGGCTTCAGAAAACAGCCCCCATGCCTTCCGTACAGGAAGTGAAGAACCGACACATCTTAGCCCACCGGTTGGCCGTCACGCCTGTTGGGACTCATCCTCTATTTGCAAAAGAGGTGACCTTGTCCTGGACAATAAAATGGAAGAGATCTCTGGTCTTCCATTGGCCACATGCCCTGAGTTGGGTCTTTCTTTGTCGGACTTGCAAGGTGAATTTTTAGGAAATGGTGCCACGGGGGCAGATTCTTTTCTCAGTGTTCCTGAAAGGATATCCAAGTTTGAAGATATGCCTGATGGGAGGTCTTCTCACTATACGTTCCATCCCTTGGGAGATCGTGAGAATCTGTGTGAAACCAAGTCCAGAAATGTAAGGCAGCCTCCTTCTCTTTTAGCGTTCACTAACCCAATCCACTTTCTCCAGCTCGGACCTCCCTCGCCGTCAAGTGATCCATACCCAGGGGTGCATCAAGAACCACCATGGCCAGAGCAACAGGCCAGGAATTCGGGTGACCCAGTTGCCTCTCTTTCTGAAGGCCCAGGAAGGTTGAGAAAAGTCTTTGAAAAATCAGCGGGGGAACCCATTTGCTTGGCAGTCCATAGAAAAGGCCTGGAAGGCAGACATCCGCGCCTGGAGAAGTCCTCCAGCTGTCCAGACAAAAACACCATCGGGTTGGGCACCAAAGAATCCACTTTTGGCACAAAGAAACAAGAGGCGGGAGCCAAGCAGCGAGCAAAAAGCAAAGATTGGCATCGACACGGCTTAAGAAAGATTTCGATACCGACCGACGGTGCCGTAGGTGAGCATTCTTTCCCATCCCTGTTCCCAAAGTTGCAGGGGAAAAAAGCAAGTGCCATAGAGCAGGGGTGTCAAACTCACAGTCCACGGGCCAGGTGCGTCATACACCCGGTCTAGTGAAGGGGGAAAATGTCACATGACAATGATGTGACAAAGTGGGTTTTGACACCCCTGCCATAGAGGAACTAGGAGGCCAAACTTCCTTCTATAACTCTTCTAGTAGAACTACTCAGTTTAGTAATTACAGGTAGCCCTTGTCTTACAACCGTTCATTTAGTGACGGTTTGAAGTTACAACATCATTGAAAAAAGTGGATTATGGCTAGGGGTGCGATTCTACTGGCATAACAACCGGTTCGGTGAGTGCACGCACACAGCATTTAGAAAATACCATTTTTAGCTCTTAATACTGTACTTACCTTCTGCTGTAGCCCCAGTGAGTAAAACAGCTGATGCGCGGCAAATTGTTCTGCCGGGCGAATCAGCTGTGCTCAAAAAGCACAGGAAAAGGGCAGGGGAAGGTGGACGGGGCCAAACCATCACCGGAACTACCAGTTCGCCTGAACCGGTCCAAACTGGTAGAATCCCATCCCTGATCATGACTATTTTTCACACTTATGACCATCGCAGCATGCCCATGGTCACACAACCAAGTTCTGGAGGCTTTGGCAACTGGCTCATATCTACGACGGTGGCAGCGCCCCCATATCGTGTGAACAACTTTTGTGACCTTCTGCCAAGGGAAGTCAGTGGGGGAAAGCAGATTCGCTTAACAATTTAAGTTTATCAATTTAACAACCGCAATGATCCACTTAACAGCTGCGGCAAGAAAAGTTGTAAAATGGGGCAACCCTGCCTTAACAAAATGTCTCGCTTAGCAACAAAAAAATTGGGCTCAATTACAGTCATAAGTCAAGGACTCACTGTACCATTCAAAGTTACAACAGCACTGGGGAAAAAAAGTGACTTAGGATGATTTTCACAGTGAATTATCATTGCAGCATTTCCATGGTCACATGATCAAAATTCAGGCCCTTGGCAAATGACTCGTATTTATGACGGTTGCAGTGTCTCAGGGTCATGTGAACCCCTTTCACGACCTTCTGACAAGCAAAGTCAATGGGGAAGCCAGATTCACTTAACAACCTTAACAGCAGTGATTCACTTAGCAACCGTAGCAAGAAAGGTCGTAAAATGGGGCAAAACTCCCCTTAACAATTGTCTCATTTACTGTCGGAAATTTGGGGGCTGAGTTGTGGTCATAAATCCAATGAGAGACGATTTTTAGTTTAACAACAATGTCATCCTGCGAGTTTAAAGGACTTTCAACCAAGCTATTAACTTCCAACACAGCCCTTTTCTAAAAGTGTCAGC